GATAGATAGATAGATAGATAGATAGATAGATAGATAGATAGATAGATGCTGAGAGGATGCAAGAGAAACAAGTGGGGCCTTGCCTCAAATGAGGTCTGAAATTTTAAAAAGGAGATCTGAAAATTGGGAGAGGTAAAGTGACCCAGGGTTTGGGCTGTGTGTTGGGGGAGTAATACCCTTTCAAGAAGAAACAGATTGGAAAAAGGGGCTGATATGTGGAGATGATATAGTCCCCCATGATGAGGAGGAAGCCATGAGTAGCAGCCCTTACAGCCAGCCCATGGTGTTCAGCTGAGCAAGGGCCATCAAAGAGGCAGGTAATAGAGGAAGTTGAAGAGTTGAGGTGACTTCTGAAGTCTGTCTCTCCTCCATGTGGGTCTTGGGTATCAAATTCATCATGCTCATCATCAAGCACCTTTACCCACTGTGGTGTCTCTCTAACCGTAGTGGCTCTTGGTTTTCTAACCCTATCCAAGGTAACTTGGGAGCCACCCTATAATCTTGGGTGTTATAAGAGAGAGGGGGGCTGCAGAGATAGCCCTTCTGTTAAGTTTTGTTTTGAGAGGGGGGCTCAAGACAGGGTTTTTCTCTGTAGCCCTGGCTGTCCTGGAACTTACTCTGTAGACCAGGTTGGCCTTGAACTCAGAGTTCCCTTCTGCCTCCCATGTGCTGCTGAGATTAACTCCAAGAGATCTCCTGCCTCTGCCTCCCAGAGTGCTGGGATTACAGGCACGTACCACTGCTCTGGCTCCCATTTTTAAATATAAACAGTGGAAAATATCTCTAAGTTGCCATTTGTCCTATGTCACCACCAGCCTGTTCTTATTTCTACATATTGTATTCTTTTGTTCAATTATATGCTAACAAAAATTATATTGTCTTTCAAAATACAAAAAACATTAGAACACTTAGGGTAAAAATGATGACAGATAGCCTGAAGTAAGAATGGGTAGACATAAAATGTGGAGGCTCCAGGTGTTTCAGAAAACAAAATGATGAGTGTAGGGGTATGCATAACAAAAGAATAGATAGAAAATCCCTATAAGAAGCTTCTACCAAAAAAAAAGTAAAATTACAAGAAGAAGGAGGAGGAGGAGGAGGAACAGAAGCAGCTTCTACCAAAAAAAGGAAATAAAATTACAAGAAAGAGGAGCAGCAGCAGCTGCTGCTGCTAGAAGCCAGGCGTGGTGACATATACCTATAATCCCAGAACATTTTAGAGCTAGGAAGATGTGTTCAAGGTCTTGTGCTATATATCACATTTCAGGCCTGAGACCTAATTGATGTGAAGTGGGGGAGGGGGAGAAGAAGGAAAGAAAAGAAGGAAGAAAAAAGACTGAAAGGTGGAAGGAAGAAGGCAAGGAGAAAGAAACTTTCAGAAGCTGGGTGTGGTAGTGCATACCTATAATTCCAGCATGTAGGAGGTAGAGGGCCAGTCAGGTCGTATATCGAGCACCTGTCTCAGCATTCCGCAACACACACACACACACACACACACACACACACA